GGCACAGAATTTATATTAATGTGTTTATATAAAGATACAGCCTAGGTACACCTAAAGATGTAGGTTTGTATAGTTTTATTATCAGTTATATCAAGTTAAAATGATCTAGATCTATGTATTTGACTATGTATTTGTATTTGATTATGAATTTTCTTATGACCCTCAATGTTTATGCAGCTCATATTTACACACCAGCTTCAAGTTCAGGGTGTCAGACATTTTAACAATAATATTTTGATGCAAAAACCAGGATCTAAATAGCAATCTAATGATAACAATAAGGAAAAAACACCATTTCAGTCAGGCCCATTTTAGACAAAGAAAATTTTATTCCAATTGCAGTATTATATTTGGTGGTATGGCTCTGATCTGGGGCCTCTCTGTCTCAGGCTTTGGCGAGAGCACACATCTCTGCCCTTCCACGCGCATACGCGGAAAGTCTTAAGGCAGAGAGAGCACACCTCTCTGCCCTTCCACGCATATACGTGGAAAGCTTTAGGCAGAGAGAGTACACCTCTGCTACGTCTGCCTTTGCTACGTTTGGCCCCATATTTATTCTCTTCAACAGGGCGTTGTATCAGTGTTCAAATAACATTTACGTTGGTGGGGTTGTCTTGTACTGGTGGTGGGCGAGGTTTATAGGGACGTGTGGTGTAGGTCAGTGGCTCCCGACTGGTCAAGCTACAGGGTCCAGATTTCTCCTCAGTCATTAGTCTAAGGTCCACACATTTTAAATTATTCAGCGTCATACTTGTGTCGTTGAGCTAGTTTGCTGTGTCTGTCAAATAGCTGTCCGTTATTCACTCACTCTACAGCACGAAACAGCACTTCAAAATAAAAGCTCTGTGCCAGAAATTCACTGTACTTCAAAATATAGTATGTTTTTTACAGACTCCATCTTATGAGCCCGCTATAACCCACCAGTTGGGATCCACTGGTGTAGGCTACAAACAGAATGTGGCTGCAGCTGTACATGGCTCCCTCTAATGGCAGAAATGACATACCCTGCAAGACATGGCAGAATTGTCTGAACCCTTTCCATATTTTAAAGTGCTTTTTTTTTCCCTAAAACATACCATTTGGTGTTCTGTCACATCACTTCACAGATGGCGGCACAATTTACAGCATCATTTGGACTTCAGTGTTATGAGTCATGAAGCACTTTAGCTTCACCAAAGATGGTTTCAAACCATAAAGATTACCGCAAAGCTCCAAAAGTGTATAAGTGTGCTACAAAAATCACTGCTTGTACTCAGTAGAGACTTGCATGTGTAACTTGGCTTTCCTTCGCGAAGGATCAATTAAAAAGTCATCAATACTTCCCCCAGCTCTCCTGACAAACATCTTGTCGCAGAACCACAGTGAGACCAGCTGAGGGTTTAACGCCGCAATGTGGCAGCAATTTTGGGTTCCGCTCTGGCGAGGATCTGTAGCCCGTTTCCTTTTGAAAAGCCTTAAATGTTCGAGGCTGTCTGGAAGGTAAATTTCACGGCCAGTTTGGCAGCAGGAAGTGTCTTTGGTCGGGGTGTTTGTGTAAACAGCTCGTAATGGTTTTAGCCCGCAGTGAGGCCTCTGTGGTGCACACACCCACACACACACACACACACACATATACATTTGTAGATATACACAGATATGTCTGCACAAAATGTACATAATCATTCATTGCACATATCCTCATCCACACACGTGAACACTTGCATGTGTGCTGCAGACATTCATTCTTCTCATTCAGATGCAGTGAAGCCTGGAGCCTGTAAATGGACCCATTATGGCTGCCAAATGAGTTTCTGTTGACTTTAACCAGTGTGCTTCTTGCCCTTGAAAAGAGCTGTGTTGGCTGTTGTCGTGCACTAATGTCACATTTAAATTTGTTTGTGGGAGGCAGTTTGCCTGAGACAATTACAGTTACATGTTGGATATACAGCATTAGTGTCTGTGTCGTGATCATCCTCCGTGCTCTCTCCTAAATGCTTCTTTTGTCAGATTAGAATTGCTTGCTTGAACAAATTAGCGAAACATAAAGCATGAAAATGAGCTTGTTATCATTGTGTTTTGCTTCATGTGACTCTGTTTTAATTTACTGCAGAGAAAATTACAGTGGCCGTGTCTGTCGTTTCAGTCAATTGTGTTTTTCCTTCATGTTAACCTTGACTCTGTCATTAACTGTATATTATCACAGTCTGTTAAAACCATGTATCCCAAAGAGCTCAACAACGAGCCGGGTTTTTAAGATTTGTGATTAATTTTTCTAATAATCCACAGTTTTTAAATTGTTCATTTGTCCGAAGAAGTAGGAGAATTGTTTTAAACCATACAAGAAAAAGAAATAATCCTTGAACAACTACATAGTATTAGAGCTGCACTGAGAAAAGATAAAGGTTAAATATAATATTCAAATTAAATATAATTTTTTTTAATAGTGTGACTTTGTTCTCATTTTTTAATTAATTTTTTTCAATCAGTATGTTTACAGTCAAGGGGTAATGTGGCAGGACATGAATGAAAGTTAAGGCAACTAAAGTCTGAGTAGGGCGGGCAGTTTGTTGTTGGAGGCAAAAAACAAAACTGTATGTAAACAGTTAATTTCCTGTGAAAAAGGAAGTGTTTTTTGAAAAGGCTGAAGTTGACACGACGTCCCAGAACATCAACAACCAGCGCACCCAGGGTACCTTGGACGTCGTATGTGGACGTGAAAAGTCCATGACCAAATGTCAATACAATGATGAGAGTGAGAATGTGTTGGTACAATATAGTGGAAGTAGATGGCACTCAGCTTGTGGTGCTCAAAGCAACAAAAATACATTTAAAAAACTTATCATCAGTGACTTTTTCCAGAAATCATGACCCAGTTTCTCAAGATAATTCAGGGACCTTGTTTCATGTAGGAACTATTTTCATAATGCCGAACTACACCCACCAACTGGATCACCACGCTGAGGGAAGCTAACTCACCTAGTGCCACTGAACTAGCTAACATTACAGCTCAGCCGAGGGGGACGCCATTAATGTTTAGATCTTGCGCTGTCACAGCCACGAGTCTTTCGTTCGTGAGTGGATGCACACTTCCTTCTGTAGATTCAGTCGTGGTTGTAGTTCGGTAGACAGAAGATAAAATAAATAAAAATAGTTCCAACATGAAACTGCTCAATGCTTTTAAACTTATTTTAATGTTATACTCAAATACAAGTTAGATGACAGTTCAGGACAGGCTCATTTTGCATATTGTGTATTTCTGCTCAGCTTGTATTCAGATTTTGAGCATATCAAGTAACCATTGTGTATGAACCACCTTAGCAGCATGTTACCATCTCTGCCGCCTCTGTGTGCTGTTTACCGTCGCGCCGTCCTGTACCACTAATGTCTCAGGACAAAGTCAACCTGCAGGCAGCTCTGACAGCCTCTCCCGATCACCCTCCTGTAACCCAGACTGCGTGATCACTTTTCCAGTAAGCAGGGATCTGGCTCTGTTGATAAATGACTCACTTTCCATCAGGAGGCTGTTATGAGGCTTTAACTAAGTGTATTATGCGTTTACAGAGGCCGATCAAGCCTCAACTGTTTGGCAGTGAACAGACTGTTGGAGGGCAGCAGTCAGATACTGATGGTAATGTTGGAAAATAAGCTTGTTGTGCTGTTGAAGTTGAGTCTGTGTAAATGTCTGCTCCTGCTCATGTGGTTTGACTTGTTATGATGCAGATGAAGCTGTTGGACAAACGGTACCTTTGCTGTAAGGCTCCTTCACACTGAAGCAACAGCAGCAGCTTGTCACCTCTTTTCATTATGACAAGGTGGACAATGATCCGAACCTTCACTTTCTTCTACTAGAGTTAGACTGTGTCAAACTTTTGGTGCCAGTTGCCATGTTTTTTTAGGTTGTTTTTGGTGAGGCCAGGATCTAACAAGGTACTGCGATAGGCCAAAACCTGTTCTGGATTGTTTGTCCCTTTTGAGTTGCAGTAGGGCACTGAAAGTTTTGGGGGGCTCATGCATGTGTGAGAGCTTTTGGTGTAAAGAAAAATAGCTGGGCGGCGGTTGTTATTGGAGCTGATACACCATCTTCCATTCCTTTTATTGTTTTATTAATTATTCAATTTGGCAAACCCAGGACACTCGGCTACAGTGTTGTACGTTTCCGCAAATCACGGATACGTTCGATTTGTACATTTTTATGTAGCGGAAATGAAAATTTACATGTCAGATATGATGTGGTTTAAGTGGGGTGAGGTTTTGGCACAAAAAACACTTGGTTATAGTTCGGGAAAGATCAAGCTTTGGCTTAAAACACTGATGGCACAATCACGGCTAGAGAAGCCGTCAATATCTCACAAAAAACATCTGCCTTTCGTTGCACTATCCCCGCTGGAAACAGGAATGACTCACTTAAGAACAACTGGTTTTGTTATTTGTTAGTCTCAAACACTGGTCTGCAGTTTGGCAGGCGTCTCGACTAGGTGTCCAACCTGTTCTCATTTCCAAGTTGTCAAATACTGACGCTTTGTCATGCCTTCTGTGTCTCATAGTGACACACAGAGCATATGTAGTGTATCTCTGCGATGCACAGCTGACACATGTGGTTAATGCTGTGAAACAGTCACAGTTAGGTTCAGGCAACAAAATAATGTGGTTAGGTTTAGTAAAAAGATCATGGTTAAGGTTAAAATAAGTCGAAAACAACTAAGTCCAAACACCAAGCAGCTCCCATTTAGAAAGACTTCAATGCAGAGTGATGATTCCAGCCCACAGCTCTTCCTCAGACTTCTGATACATGAACGTACAAGGCTAACATGCTTTCAGGAACTGGTTTGGGTTCTTGTGCAAACATCAAGGCAGAACTGTCAAGATAGATTTTATCATAGCATAGTAACAAGGATGCTCAGTGACCTGTGGCCACTAGGAGGCGCTCACATATTCAAATGAAAAGTGTTCTGTTCATTTTACGTTATTGATCACTGTCGGTGTTCTTATAATCATCTTTTTTGTCCCCTGTGTTCTCTCAGGTATTCTGTCCTTCAAAACGGGAACCACACGGAGCAGAAGAAGTCTCTGCACACCGGCACAGAGTCCCACGAGTCCTGCTTGTGACCCACAACGACTCCTCAGTCACATCTCCAATGACCTCGGCTCTCACGTCGTCACCACACAAATGATGGAAACACACCGCAGCCTTCACAAATCCGGAGCTGAAATCCAACACAGATGGCTACAAATCCAGCAGAACAACCACAGCCCCGACGGGACTTTCGGGATCCAGGCGAGGAGCGTGACATTGCAAAGGATGCATCTGGTTTAAAAGTTCAGCCGAAACTCACCCTGTGGTCTTTAAAGGTGGCAGGGACCTAGTGGAACTGGAACGAAACCAGTTCTCTGTCTTTCTGATTTCTGTCATGCTGGTTCTCCCTGTCTGCAGGCCCACAGAGACTGAGCTGTCCCGGTTGAACTGAACCTGAGCTGGAATGCGACTGCGATCCCGTCAGCAGGCCCGCTGGTAGCTATCTGTGACGTCCAGCTTGTCTTGTGGAGAACCGGCAGCTTCGGTGGAATGTGTAGGAGAATTTCACAGCCTGAGACGCGTGTAATGACTTACTGTGAGTCGTGGAAGTGAATTATGTTGCCAAAGCTATTTCATATTACACAGAGGACCTATTTCTGATTATTATACGATGCTCCCTGTTGTTTTCCGGTACAAAATCAGACAAATTGACGATAGACTTTAGGAAGTCGTTCCCTGTAAAATGAGCATTATAAGTTGGCTTTTTAATCAAGTGTTATTCATGAGAAGAGGCAGAGTTTAGAGTGTTCTTTCTTTTGCCAAACATCACGTTAAACATCACGTGTTTTAGCCTTGACACAAAGCTGAGGAACCTGTATGTCTCCGAGGTCGAGGCTTTGCAGTTTTGCTAAATCCTCACTAAGCTGAAAAGAAAATGTGTTTGCAAGGCTGCGTTAAATCCTTGACCCAAACTGTCGAAGTGCATTATTATAGAGGCTGCGAGCTCACACTCTGTGTTCATCACTCCGCGAGGCTCCGTCTGAATCATTGTTTTCCTCGCAATATGAAGTTTGAGGATCACAACGCATAAAAGCTGCTCATGAATGATTCAACAGGTGCTGCGTTGGAGCGGTATGTACATGGTTATGATGTGTGTGTGTGATTGCATTTGCAGGTTTTTGCAGTCTGTGTGTGTCCCTATGTGTTTCCATGGTGATGCATGCTTTCATACGAGCGTGCTGCTGAGTGTGTCTTCATGTGTGATGTTCGTATGTATGAAACACCCTTTTCCCATCATCCCACGCTCAACACGCTATTTATTCCCTCCGCCTCTGCTCACGTCCGAGGCCATGTTAAAGAATGTACCAGAAATGTTTATTCATGGAAACTGTGAGCACTAAAGCCAGCTGTTTACCTGTACCCATAATGCAACATTTTTTATTTGAAAAGAAATCTCAGTTGTAATTGATTTCCCGTTATTTCCCTTCAAACCGTCCAGCATAAAACGTTATTCAAAAGGCCACTTACTGGTCTCAGAAGGCTGAATCTCACCACTTCCTCTCACTGAGCGCTGCCGCCACTCATGACACATGAAAAACACAGTGGAGAAATTCCTTAATGAGACAACAAGTGAAAATGAATCATCTGATACTTCCAAATCAAACCAGCACATGCAGCGTCTGCTCTGCTGCTCTGCTTTTGCACTCAGATGTTGAGTTTGAGGAAGTTACCTTTCCTTGTAGACTCACTTTTACCTTCCTTTAATATAATAAACAAAGTTTTAACGCAGGATAATTACAGTGAAAACACTCTACCGCTGCATTGTGCGAGGAAGGATGGTGCATAAAGGGAGGCTGCATAGCGGCAACTCCTGTACGTTCTGTCCCTAATCACCGTGTTTATATTAATTATCAATTAAACAACTCAGTATAGTGTGAAGGGCTCGCTCACAGTGGCAGACCCACAGAGAATTATCACCACCTCTGCAGCTCCACACGGCTCTATAGTCTGTTTAGCTCATTATTTTGGTATTACAGCACATTTATTACATTACTACCGCCCAGCACCAAACAGCAGATAGACAACGAATCAAGAGCTAGATGGTGGAGACCAAAGCAGATCAAAAAGGAGACTGAATATTGGACTTGTATTCAACAAGTGTTGCTGTTGCTCTGTGTCTGCTGGACGTGCGAATATTCTAACAAATTATCTACAACAACTTTATAAACTTAAGATATGTCAGGGTCGTGTGTCTGTCAGCTTGTTGCGGAGTTATTCTGCCCCCAAGTGGTCAAAAAGATCAGTTTATCAAAAGCATTATACCAAGTGTGACTTTGAGAAGAGATAAAATTGATGTGGTTATAAATGTTAATATATGAGACAGACCCCAGCAGCCTTATTACAGGAAATATTCTGCTTGTCCTATCTTAAGTTTCAAAGTCAGAAAAAATTGTTCTAACACAGAAGCAATTCCTGAACTCATGGCTGTGTCCAGTCTTATCTCAGACTTCTTATCTCATCTTAGAGGTAAAGTGTACAAGATTTAGGGGGATTGGTGGCATCTAGTGATGTATTGCATATTGCAACCAGCTGAGACTTCTCCAGACCAGAATCCCTTTACTGTTCATTGTTCAGGAGGTTTTTTGAGTTATCCTCAGAGGTCTCTTCCCTCTTCCTCCACAACAAACAGACCCGGCGACTGGAACCACTAAAAACACTGAATGACGCATTTCAATTCAGTTCAATTTATAAAGCCCAATATCACAAATCACAATTTGCCTCAGAGGGCTTTACAGCTGAAATCAGTGCCTCTCCAACGCTGCTCAGCATCTTGGAGACGGTGGCTCGCCAAGAAAGTGCTATTGTGTGCTCACCTGACCCTGAGTCGAATTATCTGCAGAGGCGGCTTCCTCACTGAAACAGACGGACCATGTGATTTAACCCGCTAGGAACGCTGAACAAAGCTGTTTCATGTCACAAATCAGTGTAACTGGTGCTGCTCAGTGCAGCTGGGCTTCTTGCTACAGCGGCCAACATGAGAGGGTGAAAACACAAGAATACAAAAACACGAATGTCCCTATCTGGAGCCAGTGTTTGGTTTGTCCACTGTGAGCAGGGGCGATTGCTCTGAGACAACAAGGGAGGCTGAACTTCCCCTAAAATTTCATAGAAGAAATGGTCAAATATGCACTATTGAATTTACATTAAAATACATCCTACACACTGGACCTTTAAATCAAGACTGATTTTCTGTAGTTAATGAGCAGTTGATAACAGTGAACATACACTTTTGTTTTTGCTCCCATTTGTCCACACATTTAGATGAAAGACTTTTTATGCACTCTATAGATATATTTCACTCACATCGTGGTTGCAAAGTCATTAAATCAGTGTTAGTGAGCACTTCTCCTTTGCCAAGATAATCCATCCACCTGGCAGGTGTGACACGCTGATTAAACAGCACCATTACTTCACAGGTGTGACGTGGGATGGTAACAATACAAAGCCACTCTAAAATGTCAGGTGGATGGAACTTAACAAATGTGCGACCAAGAGAAATATATCTATAGTGCATAAAAAAGTCTTAAACCTGTGAAAAACAAGCAAAAACAAAAGTCTTTAAATGTATTTTTAAGAGGACAAACAGTTCTTCTTCCAGAGCCAGCTCAGGCACAGAAACAGAAGTGAACCTTCTTAAAAGAGTCTTCATAGGAACAAACACAACCCTCTCAAATCAGTTAATCAGATGAAAACAGTGTCGAGCTCTGATTCAGTGGCACAAAGAAAAGCCAAAAAGCTCTTGACTGGAAACACTTGGGCAGGCGAGGTAATTACCAATCTGTGCAGAGACGATCCCATTGACCCAGTTTAACCAGTCACACTTCAGAGGAAACATCCAATCTAAAACTTCAGAAATGACTCCGGCTCTCATGTTACTCCAGATACATAAATATGAGCCTCACATATCACAGATCAGCCGGGAGAGAGTGAGAGGAGGGTCAGCTGCTTCACACACGATGGACACTTCACTGTAGTTCAGTCTAATTCAATTACTTACCATCATGTTGGAACACTAAAGCACATGGTCACATCTCCACAGTTTTAGACAATAGATGTGAGTTTACAAGACTAATGACCTTTCAGTGCTACAGAGGACATCCATCATTTAAATGATCATGTACAATATACAAAATAAATGTTGCCAATGACACTGACAGCAGTATCGTACCAGCGTAAACGCAGAGATCATTTTCATCTGCAGGCAGCTGTTTGTCATGCTGAAGTGTCCTTGAGCAAGACATGAATATCCATGACTTTCAAAATCTGCCTTTCGAGTATCATTCACTTTCTGTAGGCTTGAACCGCTGTGAGAAATCAAACCTGTCGCCATAATTAATGTTGGCACTGTACTTTTCTGCAGATCCCTGATGTGTTACATTTGTACGATGTTATGTAGTGGATACTCTGAAACGTTTCATTTCAGCGTTCTTCTTCTAGCGTATGTCCTTAGACCTTCAGCTCCGTTGAGGCAAGACAGTCCAGTGTTTCATTGTCCAGGTCAGTTAGACAACGATCGCCATTCGGTGGCCGGTGTTTGGGGCAGCTGGTTATTATGTGTTCCACAGTTTGTAGTGGATCCCCACATTCGCAGTGGGCGCTGTCCATGAGACCCCATTTTTGCATTGCTGCCCCGAAACGTCCTACGCCTGTCCTCAGGCGGTTGAGGGTTGTCCATTGCTTTAATTTCAACGCTGTGGTTAACGTGTGGTCGGGTTTAGGCACAAAAAACAGTTGGTTATGGTTAGGGACAAGATCATGTTGTAGTCTAAAATACCCACTTTTGGTTGCACAACCCCGACGAGAAAAGCAGTTATCTCATTAAAACACAACGGCATTTCGTTGCACTATCCCCGGTGGAAACCATGGACTGTATATAAAGTCAGACAGCATGACGGCGTCCACAAAGTTAAGCCAAACCATCTTGTTCGCCCCCTGGTGGTTGGCTGCAGTATTGGTCATAAACCATTCCCCCTCCAAACTAAAAAAAGTACACATCCAATAAATGTCTCCCATAGATGGTTTCTGTCATTTTAAGATAACTTTATTTGCCATTTGTTCAGTCTGGGTACGAAGGAATTCTTGTGCAAAAATCACTTTGAGTCAAGTCAGAAATAGACAGGTGACAAATACTAAAAGGTAAAGTGCACAAAACAAGGTATGATTAATACAAGAATATAAGCTCCACCTGCAGGGCATTCCGAAGGTTTTCCACATTATGGATACTGCACATTTCCAGTTTTTATTGCACATGAACTACGGTAGAAGAGGGAAGATGTCACACACAGTGGAGCGCCATCTTGCTGTCGATCAGCCATTGAAAAAGAAAACGTATCCATGGTTTGCAGAAATGTACAACACCAACATTTTGTGGTGACTGGGCTGAAGAAGTTCATCAGCTTGGATTACATTACGGCTACGATGGATTAAATTGGTGATTCAGTGGACTCACAGTATCCGAATATCCACAGAAATGTCCCAAACCATCCCTGCAGCACAACCCAGCTCTCAGCTCTACATCTGGATGCTCAGTTTGTTCCAAAGAGGTTTTTTCCCCTGAAATTCGGCGAGAGACAGGTTCAGCTGTGTCAGGTTATGGATCAACGACAGAAAAGTGGAATACGCTGCTGGAGTGGTTTGAAAAGTTTTAATGGACGTTTCTGGTACATTTTCCTGCGTACCAGTGGCGTGTTTGATACTGCAAACAACCATTTGGTACGGAGAAACACTTTAAAGCTCAGGAGGATTTAGTGTTTCTCTCAAGGACACTTCGAGTTCTGGTAGAATCACATCACATTTGAGGCATTAGATGGACGAGAGTCAAAACAAACAGTCACATAAACCAGCTGATAAAAACACACAAGGGAATAGATACGTGTGATCCCAGATATTCCTCAGGTCATAACGTCACACTCGACCATCCAAGCATGAGAAATGGGTCGCTATCAGATGTCAAAATCTTTCCCCTTCCACCCATAATCCCTTGCAATTTCAAGTAATTTCCTGTCGTCAGTTCAGATGATGTTCTTCACCTCCGTGCTGCTGGAGGAGAACTGAAGCTTCCCAGTTGTTTCGGTGCAACAGCTTGTTTCTGAGCACTTACACAACACAGTAAAAGGCTGTCTGCAGAGACGACCAGCAGAGTCTGTATCTCAGTGTACAGCGAGTAGAAAAGTAACTCATGAAAAATATAAAGTTCTTATATAAAGTTGATCATTTCAAGTGTAAATTCAAGATGCTTTGACTCTTGGAAAAATGCCTTTTCATTCTGTGTTGGCTCAGTCGAGGCACTGTTTGACTCATGAACTCACAAATCTCAGAAAAACATGAGAAGTTCTGCTGAATGTTTGTGGCTGCTTCAGGGTTGTTGAATATTCTGCAGTACATATCAACTTTCAGCATCAAACAGTCAACAGGAAATGTTTCCTATACACTGAAAAACAAGTATTGCATTTCTTTGTTTTTGTTTTTCCAAGACAAACTAAACTGTGACCTCTTTCAGTTCAGCCACAAGCACAGTTAATGAAGTTAGAAGAGCAAATATAGTCACTCCTTTAATTTATAATCCCTTCCAAAAACAACCTGTGGATGCTTTCGAGGCACATTGAATATTTATTTTCCAATACATGTCCAATATGCTTGAGATTTAGTATTAAAGAAGACCTATTATGCTTGTCCTTATTGTATTTCATATATATATATAATGTTACAATGTCGGGATGTTTAAATTGAACTCAGCCAAAATTATAATTAATGAGGTAAATGTACGTAAAAGTGAGCAAAACTTCAGGCTTCAGACTGTTCTGAATGCTCTGTTTGCAGAGGTTGTTCTGTCCACTTTGGCTACAAGCTGATTTCTTTATATGCTCATCTGCTCCAGGCACGCTGCTACATGTAGCTTCATGCTAACGTCAGAAAAACATGTAATCTTGGTCGCTGATGTTAATATCTCTCCAATTTACGGATCCCATTCCTGCTGAACACATTCTCACTCCGACCTCGTCATGTATTGACCACACTGACATATGACGTGCTGACGTTCTGGGACGCTGTGTCATCTTGCCTGTTACATGCATTGTGTCTTGTCAAACAGGAAATGCACAGTTTGCAAAGAAACATGAGTTAAATGGAGCGTGTCAAACAGAGGGTAAATATATGTGTTCAGGTTCAGACAATCTGAGCAAAAATAAAGTGTTTTTGAACATTAAAGCATGTAAACTCAAGTCAAAACCCAAAATACAGAATACGGAAAGGTAGCATGATAGGTCCTGTTTTGTCCAAATTATGTGTCAGGACCAGCTGTTTGTCACAGTGTTCATTTTGAAGATTTTCCCGTTATGGAAAGACGATTTCACAGGTTGTGATACAACTTTATAAAAAGTAGCTGATGGAATTAGAGTGGAGATCGTAAAATAAAATTTGTCAAAGCATTTCTTTTTTTCTTGGAAAATATTAATAATTTATGAAGATTCTCAAAACTGTGAATATTTTAATCAGGGAAACGTGCAGCTTATGACATTTACTATTTAATGTTTTGTTAGATTGATTAACTTGCCTGATCAATTTGTGTCACAGAAAGTGATGCTTTTTTTTTGGCTCTCAGAGTAAATTGGCCTTGACTTCCAGATGATTTTAGATTGCCAACATTGTGTTAATGGAGATTGAAATTAGTCAGTAATGAGAGCCATAATCATAAATTACTTTTATGATTGAAAATGTTTTTGCACGGTCAATTTTTCTTCCACAACGAAGTGATTTAAAGCTTGTAACGGCCCCACAGGGCCTTTTTCACTTTTTAAATTAGACAAATTAAACAAGCTCAGATTATTAACTCTTTTGGAGTTTGTATACAAGTTGCATCAGCGGCACACAATAATAATGTAGTGTCCTCGTGTCCTCACTCCGTCCTTCACTAACATGACCTCTCCCTGCAGAGCGAGGCCACAAACGCCTGTCAGCAAAAGCTGCAGAATATAAACTCCATAAAACACAGTTCCACAGAGACGTTTTCATCCTAAGAGGCAGCAAATTCCACCTTTTAATATGAGCATGTTAATGTTTTCAGCCT